AGCATGCTTTAAGAGGAGTGGACTTCAATTCCCAGAATTCCCCAGCCAACATGCCTTAAGAGGAGTGGACTTCAATTCCCAGAATTCCTCCTGCCCTAGAGAGGGTTTCCTCCTCCTGACACCCCACTCACCAGAGATCCCCCTTTTCAACCAACGGGGCTGGCCCAGTTCGATGAAGAAACTGTCTTTTTTCTCATATTCTTCGACGTCCACAATTTTCACGTGAAGCGATTTTCTGTGCAGCGAGAAAGAAAGAAGAGACAGCAAACCGATTGACAAAGTCACCCAGCCAGCTTGCATGCCTATGGTGGGATTAGAACTCACCATCTCTTGGGGATTGATCCAAAGTTACCAGCCGATTTTTGTGCCTAAAATGGGACTAGAACTCACTGTCTCCTGGTGCTTGGCCCATAGATATCTCCCAGCCAGTTTTCATGCCTAAAGCAGAACTAGAACTCACTGTCTCCGGGTGATTGGCCCAAAGATATCTCCCAGCCAGTTTTCATGCCTAAAGCAGAACTAGAACTCATGGTCTCCTGGTGATTGGCCCAAAGATACCCTGCCCCCAACCAGCGTTCATGGCTAAGGCGGAACTAGAACTCACTGTCTCCTGGTTCTTAGGCCAGCAGGCCAAAATGACTCAGGTAACCGATTGATAGGTAGCTCTCTGAATGAATCTGTAATTCTGTGAGCAACTCAATCTGCCCGCCTGCTTTGCCTGATTTTGGGTAAAAGTTGCTCTTTTGTTTATAAAAAAAATTCAATATTTACATACATGGTGTGTTGTGAGTTAATTTTGTGAGTTTGCTTGCAAGCAAATTTTCAGTGACAGACTCAGGTAGCCGATCGCAGAAAGATAGATCTCTGAATGAATCTGTGATTCTGTGAGCAACTCAATCTGCCCGCTTTGCCTGATTTTGGGTAAAAGCTGCTCTTTTTTAAAATAAAAAAAATCAATATTTACATAAATAGTTATAATATTCACATACAAGCTATGCCCAGCCAGTCACATGACCACCAGGCCACACCCACCCATTAGGCCACACCCACAGAGCCGGTTGTTAAGAACTTTGAATCCCACCCCTGTAATTAGGGCAAAGAAGCGATGTTGAGTCGGCCACACCCACCCAGTCACATGACCACCCAGCCGGTCATTAGGGCAGAGAGACCCTTGCTAAAAAGTATGAATCCTGCCCCTGCCCAAAGCTCCCTTCACACACACACAAAAGTGCACACTTTCCTTCTTCAAACTGCATCCTTTGAACGGAAGTGGATTCAGGACTGGCACGGAGGCCTTTTGAGAAAGGAAGAATTCGGCACCGCCTCCCACTGGCCCCCTCCCGGGCACAGCAACGGGGAAGGGTTGCCATGGTAACTGAGATTTTCGTTGTTGACATGATGAAGCTCTAAGAAATCAATTACTGACAAATGATTGGGGGGGAGGGGCTTCCTCCCCCACCTGCCTCCCCACTCCAAAAGGGAGTGGCTGATGGGTTGGGCAGTCTTTCTCTAAGGCCTCAAGTCCATCAGAGGATTTGGGGTGAGGGTGGGAAAATAGACAGAGGAAAAGCGACAGGTTTCGATGGATCGATTGGTTTGGCTTGATCGATTGGCTTGATCCCAGTTTAGCATTCCTCATCTTAATTGCAACGGGTCCAAACATCTAGGAAAAGAGGGTACCACATGGGCTGGCCTCATACATCACCATCCATGCGCCCCTGCCCAGAATCTGAACTCATTCCAAAATCGAGAAATTGCCAAACTGCCACAATTATATATCTATCGAGTTTAAAACGGGTATTGAGCCACCTCAGCCAAGAAATTAAAAGATACTTGCTCCTGGGGAGAAAAGCTATGGCAAATCTAGACAGCATACTTAGAAGCGAAGACATCCCCCTACCAACAAAAAACAAACAAAAAGCAACAATATAAGAGCACACAACAGATACAAACTCAGTGGACACAGCTCCAAACTTAATTGCAGAAAGTACGACTTCAGCAACAGAGTGGTCAAGGCCTGGAATGCGCTACCTGACTCTGTTGTTACATCCTCAAACCCCCCTACTCCCTTAACCTTAAACTATCCACTATTGACCTCACCCCATTCCTAAGAGGTCTGTAAGGGGCGTGCAAAAGTGCACCGTCGTGCCTACCTTCCCTGTCCTTTTGTCCCCAATTATTCGTACCTATTTCATGTATTCGTACTCATGTTTATTGGTTCTGCAACCCAACAGGACAGACACAGAGGATAATTAGGACTGCAAAAAAACAACAACAATTACTACCAACCTCCCTGCCATCGAGGACCTGTATCCTGCACCCTGAGTCAAAAAGAGGGCTGTGAAAATATCTACTGACCCCTCACATCCCGGACATAAATTGTTTCAACTCCCACCCTCAAAATGACGCTATAGAGCCCTGCACACCAGAACAATGAGACACGGCAGATTTTTCCCCAAACACCATCACTCTGCTAAACAAATAATTCCCTCAACACTGTCCAACTATTTACTAAGTCTGCACTACTATTACTATTAATCTTCTCCTCACTCCTTTCACCCATCCCCTCCCACTTGTGACTATATGACTGTAACTTTGTCACTTGTATCCTTACAATTTATATTGGCTATTTCCTAGTATGACTTGATTGCTTATTATACCCTATGACTATTATTAAGTGTTGTACCTTGTGATTCTTGGCTCTTGACAAATGTACCTTTTCTTTTATGTACACTGAGAGCATATGGACCAAGACAAATTCCTTGGGTGTCCAATCACACTTGGCCAATAAAGAATTCTATTCTATTCTATTCTATTCTATTCTATTCTATTCTATTCTATCCTATCCTATCCTACTCTACTCTACTCTACTCTACCCTACCCTACCCTACCCTATCCTATCCTATCCTATCCTATTCCCTTTCTTATTCTATTCTATTTTATTTATTTTATTCTATCCTATCCTATCCTATTCTTATACCTATCATCTTGTAAGCGATTGGCAAATAAAATCAAATAAAAATAGATACATAAATAACAAAAGTGTGTAGAGTCAAGGTTATGGTTTTTCTCAGTTGCAATGTATGGCTGTGAAAGTTGGACTATAAGGAAGGCTGAGCGCCAAAGAATGGAGGCCTTTGAACTCTGAGGCTGGAGGAGGAGATTTCTGCGAGACCTTTGGACTGCAAGGCCATCCAACCAGTCCTAGAGGAGATCAACCCTGAGTGCTCTTTAGAAGGCCAGATCCTGAAGACGAATCTCAAAGACTTTGGCCACCTCATGAGAAGGAAGGACTTGCTGGAGAAGAGCCCAATGCTGGGAACAGTCAAGGGCAATAGAAGAAGAAGAAGAAGAAGAAGAAGAAGAAGAAGAAGAAGAAGAAGAAGAAGAAGAAGAAGAAGAAGAAGAAGAAGAAGAAGAAGGAGAAGAAGAAGAAGGAGAAGAAGAAGACGACAGCAGAGAAGGAGGGGGCTGGATGGAGTCACCGAAGCAGCTGGCGTGAGCTTCAATGGACTCCAGAAGATGGTAGAGGACAGGAATTTTTTTTTTCCTTCAAGAGAAGACCGTTATAGGCCATCATAGATCGAGTTGGATTAAAACAGCAGCTTAAGCTGATGGGTTGGGTGCAAAAAAAATGGATTTTTACTGTAAATTGCTCAAGGAGGAAACTGTTCGTTTCTCTCTTCCTCCTTCCTGACCCCTTTCTAAAAGGTTCTATATCAGTGTTTTTCAATCTTAGCTATTTTAAAATGTCCATCCATCCTAATGGGTGTGAGCTGGGGAATTCTGGGACTTGAAGTCCGCCCATCTTAAAGCTCGCTGGCTGGGGAATTATCAAATGTTACTTAGACTCAGCTCTCTTTTTGCTAGGTCAACCTACTCCCTTTTGCCTACACCTCCCTGTAAGACTTATTCTCACAACTCCTGCTCATCTTCCTGGCGGGTCGACCAGAGGAACTTCCTGCCTCTTGATTTTGAGGCACCTCGAGGGCATCTAGGGAGCTACAATTCTCCTAGGGAAGCCAGCTGAGGGTGACGTGGACACATCCGAGCAGATGCTGACAGACAAAGGCAGGGAAGGAATTTTGCTTATGCTCTGAAGCTATTTGTCTTTGCTGCTGAGATTCTAGCAAGGGAGTCGGTGGCTGTCCTTAAATGCCCGCTTTAATTTAGCAGCCTAATATATTTGGGGTGGGATGGGATGGGATGAATAGAATAGAATAGAATAGAATAGAATAGAATAGAATAGAATAGA